AAAATTAAAATTAATTTTAGCTTCAAATATTTGTGATGAATTCTTGTTTTTGAAAATTTTAAATCTTCATTAGTTCAAGATTTTTATATAAATTTATTGTTATCATCAGCTTGTTAGTTGAATCAAGTACTCTAATACTTTAAAATGCAATGATTCTATTGCAAAATCATTGAATATGTAGTATAGATTTCATCGCCAATCTTCATATTATTGTTATACTATGTGAAGCTCCAAAGCATCAAGGTAAAGAAGGAAAATGTGATTAGTACAGCTTTATGTGCTTTTGATATGAAATGAAATAATCGAAATGGAGTAATTTTACATTTGATCATTGCTCTCACATATCTCGTACAAGTGTCTTTTGATTTATTTGTTATACTTCATTTGTTATTACAGGTTAAAATAAGTTATGATTGGCAGACAATTAAAGATTGGCAAAGTTATGTAGTGCTTCAGTTTGCTTTCTATCAAATATGAATAATAAATTTTTTAGTTCAAACTCACACAATCATAGAAAAAAATGAACACAAAAATATTTGATTTATTATAATAAGTTCATATCTAAATGAATACAAGGTTGCTTTATTAAACGTCTAGTTTATAACATGCAGAGTTAATAACATTATATATATACAAATATTTGATAACCGATCTAACTTGTTAAAGTTAACAAAATTTAAATTAATATGTAATAATACTTATCCAATAATTAAACTAAGATGATCATGTTTAGATAAATTTTTATGATTTTTTTATTTTTAGAATATACTTTGAAATAATGTTAATATTTTAAATATTTCATTTTTCACATATACATAATCATAAAAACAATATAAAATTCATATTCATTAAATTTCAACTCTGAAAAGACGTTTTTATTTAATGAATTTTTTGATATGAAAATAGATAGATAATTTATAATAAAAAATAGTGGATAAATTTGTTATCATATTTATAAAACATGTATCAAATCTCAAACAGAATGAAAAAGTGTTGTGAAATATGTTTTAATTTCAAATTTAATCAGTATTAAATTTTATAAAACTATGAAAACAAATTTAATCAAATATTTGATAAAATGATGATATAATCAAAATGCGTGACAATAGACTTAATTATACTTTTCAGTCTATCATATAGGCTAGTGTATCGTTATTTTCGTATAGATTACAATGACATTAACATACATAAAATGCTATCATAGTCATTAATAAATTATTTGATGCTCATTTTATTTGTGAAATTTTTGACATAATTAAGGTTTAGAGTATGTAATGTATGACTCATATTTCTTCATTATATAATCAAAATCTAATTTATAATATTTCAGTGAATTATTTTATTTGATGATAGTTATTCAATATCAAAGTAAATTTGTACAAACATAAGAATAAAAGCGTGATTTTTTGGTAATTAGATCAATGATTGGTACAGCTTGTATCAAGAAGTTTGATAAGTGATAAAGAATACCCCATTTAAACATATTTATCATGTGAAAACACGGAATTTCAAAAAAATCAAGACAAGATAATCTTCAATATATTTTGATATTTAACGCATTTTGCAGATTCATGGTGCTATCGATTGATACAATAAAATCCTATACATTTAACGCATTCTGGAGATTTACTGCACTACCAATTGCTTCAATAAAATAATTTAGTTAAAAGCGGTGGACACCATGGTTTGAGTTGGGTGTTTGAGTATGATGAACCGTCGGATCTAATGACAATCAACGAAAATTTATAGAACCTTTGATCATGAAACATAGATGGAACTACATATATTTGACAAGGATACATGACAATAGAAATTTGCTCTTGGCTTGGTGTCGAGACTATGTGTGTTTGGAGTTTTAAAAGACAGATCAGCAACTACCAAAAGAATGGATTGGATGGCGAAGACATCCGGAATCATAAGATGTGATGCTTTGAGCCAGAATACTTGATTGATTGCAATAGTTACAGTCTAGACAGAACCACCTTGCACTTGCCATTCGCAATTTATCTTGTAAAATTGTCCAATCTGTAGCAAAAAAAGATGACGAAAATATATATGCTTTGACAAAAAGAGATAACGTAAAACATCAATAAGATCTTGACGCTTGATAAGACGACCTATGCAACATTGTATGTATTGCAGTTAGTTCAAGTTTCGGTGTCAAGCAAGACCGTCATCAATTGGACAAAAAGCTTCGGTCAACATGTGCAAGGATTGGGCAAGCGGCTGCTTGTTAAACATGAGCGCATTGTATATGTTCCATCTTTCCTGGTTCACATGTATGCTAGGATGGGATGGATGATTCTGACGAGTTCGAAAGATATAGAATTGCTTCCAAGTGAGATGTAATGACAAGACAAGCGTTGCAAAAGAGCACTTTCATTCCGTAACAAGGACTCGCAGTTATTGAGACTGATCGAACATCTTGACGCGGTTCTGTTTGACTAATATATTGATATATTTTGCAAGTTGAGATAAAAATCTATGCGTGATGAAGCTAAGTTGAGTCAACAGAGGCAAAGATTGTTGACTGAGGTCGCAAGCAATGAGAAGAAAAATAGTATTTGCCTCGGACGCAAAAGTGGAGTGGGCAGTGAAAGGAGGTAATCTATACCCGGCAGAAGATCGGCGCATCTAAGGAAGGCAGCATTATAAACATCTATATGGTACCACCATGTTGTAGACTCTGAAGCTTGACCTGTCTTTGTCGAGCTAGAAGAAATTGCTCGTGTATGTACTTGGATGATAGCTGATGTAGGAAGCTTCCGTGGAAGTAGTTTTGGGCCATGCACAAGGTGGCCTTGCTACAGTAAGATCGGTCCGAGGAGCTCTAGTAGCTATGGAAATACTCTTTGTTGGTTAAGGGTATAGTTGACAAATTTCTTCATGCCAACCATATGGACTCGATTTTTAAATTGTGAATGGGTAGATCACAGGAAAAATAATGAACAGATCCGAGAATGTTTAAATTTCCGGAAAATTAAAGCTTCCATAAAGAAGTATCATCACCCCTTACAGTTTGCAGATGCTATCTTGGACCATGTGGCTAAACATGGATATTATAGCTTCTTGAACGAATTCTCAAGATATAATCACTTGATTATATCTTAAGAAGAGTTTAGGGTCCATCCGAGAAGAGTATGCAGATAAAAATACATTCACCACAAATTGGGCGACGGCATGCCTATCATAAGATGCCATTTGGACTCTACAATGTAATGCACCTGAGATGTTTCAGCAAATGATGACACATATCTTACAAGATTATATGTGCAAAAGTTTTGAAATTTATATTGCTGCCTCTTCGGGTCCAATGCGTAACAATTGGATCACCTGCAAAAAACTTTCCAGAAATGTCAAACGAGTCCATTGGCTTTACACCCGGAGAAGTGTTACTATATGATGACACAAAGAATTTTGCTAGGATATGGGGTAAGGGCAAGAGGACTCAAAGTCGATGTAGACAAGGTAATAGCTATCTCGGCAAGAATATAAGAAAACTAAAAACCTTCTTAGGGCATACGGGGCATTTTCCGCGGTACGTGAAAGATCATGCTACCATATTGTCGTCTCTCATGGGAATACTACATGAACTAAAAAATTTGTCTAAAAATTAAAGCATGACACTTGTAGTCGTTTAAAATTCCACAAGGGTGATATAGACATCGTTACAATGTCCATTGTTTTCTTCGTTGTTCTGCGCTCTCCTAGTTTGTATCCATTCTTGGTCTTCAAAATATGCTGTGAGAAATTTTCGAAAAGCAGAGAAAAGAGAATAATTAAAATTCCACTCTTTAACTCAAACAAACTTGAGAAAACGTTTGCACACTTCTGTTATCTTTTGGAGGGCAAAAGGCCCATAGATGTGTTTTTTCTGAGAATGTCTCTTGGCCTTCCATAAAAACTTCAGATAAGAACTCTAGATTTGTTATTTCATTGATGGCTACAGTCCTCATCTCATAATAGAATGAAATATTTTATTTCGGGATGGTTCAATATGGTCAAAGCTACCGAACGTATTTGATTGTGCCTACATCGATCTGCCTTAAAGCGACATTTTGCGGGTGCATAGAATATGTAAGATGTGGTCCAACACATCTTACATATCCTATGGTCCAACACATCTGTGAATAATTCCTATCAAAGCATGCTGCAAAGGCTGTTGAAACACAATTCTGATCACAATAAATAGGATAGGCACCAATTGTTTGGTGTACCTTTTCAAATAAAAATATAAAAGTACGTCTGGTTATATCTTGGAAATACCATGCGGAATGTCCAACTTGATCCATGTGCGGTTAGATTCGTAAGCATAAAATAAGCATAAGAACAATGAATACAATTTTTCCCAGTATCCAGGAAAGATCCAATATCATGAAAGCTCCAAAAGTAAGCAATTCTTCCGCCATGTATTGATTCCTCATGCCTTGCAGCTACATGGGTGCTGCTGAACCGAGTGCATAGTGAAATCTACATAGATGAGACTACATGGAACAAGCATTCGTCCAGGGCCGTCGTTCCTATGATAACATTGCACCAAAAGATCATCAGCAATTTTGGCTGCTTGTCGATTGCTAAGTGAGATCTCACTACCAGCAGGTAAATTTACAGTGTCGGGAGCGTGTTTGATATAGCAATGATCAGCATTTCAGGCATCGCGATCTCAAAAGGTCAACAACTTGGATACTCTGCAGTCGCCTCAGCTTGTCTTATATTCCTCATATTCTGATAAAGTAAATGCAGTTGTTGTCAGTGTTAACTGCGCGAGGATAGTCAGATCTGCGAAGAGTGAAAGAGGAGTGAGTTTGACGAGTAACGCTTATAACACTATTGGTTTGTATATTTTCTTGGAATAGAATAGTGGATGTTTGTTGCAGAATAAATTAAAAAAACTAGCAAAGACGCAATCAGCTGACCTGTCAATCATGTTGAGCTTGCATAAAAAACGAGAAGAATGATCAAATAAGAGCAATGAGTTCACTGATTGTGTTGTACGAAGGTTTGATTCGATTAAAGGAATGGCCGAAAAAATAGACAGAAAAGTCTATAACCTTCGCGCTCTCGACCATATATCTTGACGTGAAGTGGGGTTTAAAATGAGAGAGTTACGAACATCATCGTCATAGAACGAGAGAGAGAACGCGACATCGACGACCTGGTGCTGATTCAGATTTCTCACAATGGTCAGAAAGAAGAAATACGCAGCCGAGATCAGCGCCTTCAATATTGAGGCGTTGCAGTCTATCGAGACGAAGCAAATTCAGCGATTCAATAAAGGAGTTTGGGAAAGCAGTTTCAGTCTTACCATCATATGTGTATCTTTCGGGGCTTTGTCACCTGTACTGGCCTTTCCTCTTCTTTTCGGATTTTGGAAAACTGCCAGTGCAGGAAACAAACTCAAGGTCGTACAGGCTGAACTTCTGAAACGCAGTGTCACACCGCGTAAGACAAATAGGCGGGATATCCTGGCACCGATAGGGAAATCGTGTTGTAGTGGCTGCGGAATCCTCCCTGGAACATGATCACTCCCTCGACGATATTTATCCATGTGAGCAACTTCATCAATGTTTCTTGTGATCGAATGCAGTTCTTATATTGCTTCTCTACATGGTTTATTCTGATTCTGAATATCCATAATCTGTGCTGCATATAATGTCGTCAAAGTCGTCTGAACGTCATTGCGATAGAAAGGATCTATCTACTGCTTATATTGATAGAACTGGTGTGTTGGCACGTGCTATTCTGAACCTGTGCTGTTGCAGCAGTTGGCTTCGTCTGCATACAAGGGGATTGCCCCACAGTTCAGTTCCGAGGACATGCAAGCTAGACAGGAGACGATGCAGAGTTTTCTTTTGTCGTCTGTCTCGCCTCATACTACAATCATACTGAACAAACATTCACGACTTATTTACGGACCTAGTCAGATCTGGGAGACAAGGAAATTAGGAGAAATAGCTCCTCATGATATGAGGTTCTTTAACGGTTCTGTAATCCAGTTACTTTCCAGCAGGATCCATATACGCTATTTTGCGGGACGTTGTAGAGCACTGCTTTTTTATCTTATGCTCCAGGTTTAGTCTGATCAGTGGACCTGTTTTTCATCAGGTTTTCGTTCCAATGAATTTTCGTATATCTGTAAAGTGCAGTAACTGTCTTTCAGGTCAGGCAGAAACTTTTTGAATATCCGGGTTATCCTCATTTCTCATGTCTTCTTTGATAGTAATGTAGATTGGGTTATTTTTATTGTGAACCTGCCATGTAACTAATGTTCCTGCTAGAGTTCTTTCTCACTGGGATTATCTCGCTCATGCCGCGCTCATTGTGAGGTTTTTCCTGCCGCGTCCCAAAAGGCAGCTATGGGGTTCTGGTGATGGACCTAGGGTGCAAAGCCGACTTCCGTCTTTTCATGTCCTAGAAAAGTTCAATTTTTTTCCCATATATCTCCGTAATTGGTGGCATTTGACCAACCACAAACACAGTTGGATCAAAGGTAGAGCTCCACTAACGCAAGGGTATACCACAACCAATTTGTTCCCTTTGTGATGATGTTCTCTACGATTATACATGGTGCGCTTTGGTTATTTCCGTGATACTTGTAGAAGAAATAATTCCATACAGACTTCTCAAAGGACGTGGTTAGAGGGCACTCCTATCAGTGGCACGCTACGTACAATTACCACATTCTAGAAATAATCCATGTTTTAAAAATTTCCCCACTCATTATGAGTATCAAACACTGTTCTGAACCTTATCCACATTTGATTAAAATCAATAAATCTTCAACAATATTGCATGCGGGTTTGAGTTTACTATAAATTGTTCAATATATTTTCGTTTACATCGTTATTTTCTACATATTTTATTTTATCACCACGAAATAGTGACATTTGAGTAACTAAAGGGGATTGTAAAATTCACTCCCGATTTGTTGAAATTACATCTTCGCGGAAGTTGTGATGGAAACAAGACATGTCAAAATTTAATTTTTCTTCTTGTCGTGTAGAGTATAGATTCTGTCCTCTCTTTTTCTTTTTCTTTTCCCCTTTGAACAAGCTGTCAGTGGTGATCCTTCATATGCATACGGAGGAAACCCAGAATCTGCTGCTGCCTTTGTAAATATTCCAAACGATTTTTTTAAAATTTCGCGATCCTTTCTAAACCACGAACTTTTATTTTGCGACGGGGTGAAATAACAACTCGGGCGGTAAAATTAACAATCCCCTAGCTAAATCTATAATTTCGTAAAAATTTTGAACTGAACAGTCTTGCATCAACCTGTACCAAGAGGAGAATTTATTATCAAACCTGTTCGCATGAACATTTAGGGCCTAAATATAAAAATCATTTTCAAATTTATGGTTCACTTTCCTCTCATCGACATGCTCCTCCATGTTTTCATGATGATATGTGACGCTTCAAAACAACGTAAGAATTTGGCATTTAAAGTTACAGTCAAACTTGATATAAGGATACTCCTAATAAGTATAATCTCGTAGATAAGGATTTTTTTTACTGTCTCGTAATTTTTCACACTGCACAATAAGGATACCTTGGCCGGAAGGATATCCTTAGTGATTCACGGTCCCAATTTCTTGATCTCACCTATTTTGACCTATCCACGACAACAAAATCACCAAAATGGACAAGGAGAAAGGACGTAGAGCCTTGAGCGAAGCTGAGAAATGCATTATCAGGAAGCGCTTTCAGTCCAATACCAGTAAGTCACAACATGAAGTTGCTGACTGGCCACGAAGGTATAACTAAGGTGGAAGCATTAAGGTGTATGGAGAAGGTCAAGCTTTGAGAGTTACAAAAGGCGAACATTCGCAATATATGTGCATTAGATGAGAACGAGGTGGAGATGGATTTTTACAAAACTTCTACAGCTATTCATACAAAGCTCGACAGCTTTTTCACGTCTAAATAGACCATCTTTATGATACCTCGACATATCGTTGTAATCTCACGGTCCCGATCGTATACTTATATCGAGTATATATGCGGTGAAAACTTCATTCTTGTTTGAGAGATCTGGATATGTCTAACCATAAATGCAGTGTAAGTGTGTTGTGTGTAAACACACACACACACACACTAACTAGACCACTACAAATATATTACAATTGACCTTCCAAAATTGGCCTTTAAGTCCTCTTAAGAAAGAGAGCCCCCCTGCCGGTTTCGGCTTACCCCCGGGGGAACTGCCCGAGAAAATTGGATGACACAAGTACAGGATTGCAGTCTCTACTCGACTGATATTCGGATCCTGAAAGAAGCGACCGAGCCAAGCAATCTTGTGGATAGTCTTTGCTCTACGAGCAATCGAGTTTAACGCATTAGGTGACCAGGCCATTGAGCTTGAATGGATTCGGCTAATTAATTCATCGGTGTTGTTTTCTCGAGGTTTTGGTGTCTGTTGATTCGTTTGAGTAATGGGCAGAGGGATGGCTTACGGTGAGCCATACCGCCATGGGTTCAGCCGATGTTCGCTGGACACAGTCGCGATATCTGTGGTGCTATCTAGTGCGGCTCCAAAGCGACAGCGGTTTCCGGAGAGAATCAAGGAACCACGGATGACTTCTAGTAAGCACACTGTTCAGGGGATTTTTGGTCCGGCGATCTCAGCCGCTGCAAAATATGAGGAAAGGGCGAATCTCCGACACCAGCTTCAGACAACGAGAACTGGCCTGAGAGCCAGGCTTCGTAGTCAGAGCTCTTACAGTTGGTTTCTATACATGTTGTACATTCGGATGTTCGGGCATGGACGAAAGCTGCCACGAAGGAAGTGGTACCACTTCAGGATAATGATACATACTATATCATCTCATTTAATATGATGATGTGTATCTATATGACATGTTCATTTTGTCAATGAAGCAATCCAACATTGAAAGATGCAAATGTCAACAAAAGTTTGTATTCGAGATACAAGAATTTGACAAGTCATAGAGGATATGAAGTATGAATGTACAGATGTTTTGAAGTGAAGAAAGCCATGATTAAATCAGATACATGTAATGTATGTTTGACAAATTTTACATGGCTGTGATATCAATTATTTAATGAAGATAATAAAAAAAAGCATTTAATTCACACAAGCACTACCATTTAGAGAGAGTGGACACTGTAAGTACTTGATTTGAAATTCTAAAACTATATGCAAATATTCTTTATGAGAAATCCTAAACTTGTAATAAAGACAAATCAAGGCAGATACATATAAGATTTTTTTAAAAATTTCTAAATTTGTAGTTCTATGAATCCATGTTCAGAAAAAATATAATTTGTTGTGAATCCCTCATTTTTCAATACCTAGAGCCATGATAAACTCTTTGAATAATTTTTTTTTGGATAAATTAGATTTTCTCGACATACCACAAACAATTATTTATTTTATTTGATCAATCTCTTAACAAAAAAGTTTCGACCTCAAATCATATTGAGTCAACATATTATAAATATTTCAACACTTTTAAATTGAAGATCATATCAAGTACATTTTGTTGCAAAGTATACACCATGATATGATGATGAATGATCTTTTTCTTTGCAATTATTTCTAAAGTTTTTTAAAAGAATATTTTTTTCCTTATTATTCACATGTAAATTTTACATCTTGTGACAAGGTTGAGTTTCAAGTTGATATCTTCAACTTTCAATTTTTTTTTAGACTTTAGATTTTAGTGCAAATTCTAAATTAAGTGATTTTTTAAAATAATCTTCATTAAAAAAACACATACTTTTGTTTGAAAGATAAAGGTTTAAGGTATGTTCACACTTCATTATGTATACACTGAAATAACTTTTTGACTTTATAAAATCTAAAGAAAAAAGTTATGGTCGTGACAGAATTCTAGATAAAAATTATCTTAACCAGGTAACAAGTTTTTGTCATCAACTACCTATTGATCATGTCTATACTCCTAGATTGTAATACATGAATACTTTCTAGTCAAAATCTACTATAAACTTCATGACACATTGTATTGCTCTTTAACATGTATAAATTGTCCATGTTATCCTATAAGAATTTTATCCTTTATATTTACTTTGAGACTTAAGTTACTAAAACTTAAAACAAGCTTATTGGAATCTAAATTCTGAGAAACATTAAAAAAATTATATTAGAAATAATTTTGACGTGAATTTAGAATTGATTTTTGTTTGAATCCTATAACATATTACTATTTTTAATGTACATTTGATTTTCAATCAGATTTTTTGATATGAAAATTTTATAATTGAAAATATTAAAATTGAAAATATGATTAATTTTGCAGTTGTCTAGTTATTCCTCAATTTAGGCTAATTATTCCTCACCTTACTATATTAGGATGAGGGAGATCAGCCAAGTACGTGTTATCAATTTAGTTTGGATCTTCACTTTCCATAAGAACTAGAGGTGATCCAAGCCTGATGGTATGTGTGATCCTCGATCTACTGGCCAAAAACAGAATGAAGTTCGGCAAGGTAGTCTGGTTCAAGGCCGGATCGCAGATCTTCTCCGAGGAAGGTCTGAACTACCTCAGCAACTCTGGCCTCATGATGGAAGCCATCGAGGAATAGAGTGGCAAGAAGATCTCTGGAGAGATGAGCAATACAATCTATCCTGGAGTTCAATTTGACCTCCTGAACACTTTTGCCGAGCTAAAGGAACTGAATAACGGAAGGATGGCGATGTTCTCCATGTTCAAATTCTTGGTTCAGTCTGTTGTCACCAGCAAGAGCCCGACTGAGAACTTGTCAGATCACTTGGCTAATTATATCTCACCCTGGTATAGTAGAATGAGGTATAATTAGTCTAAACTGAGGGATAACTAGCCAATTTACTTAATTTTTTTTCACAAAATACATACATCATCAAAATTTGTTTTAAATAAATTGCATATGACATGTGACTAATTTCATAGTCCATAATTAAGCAAATAATTATTCTCAACATAAATGTTTTTAGACAACTTGGGTAATAAAAAATTAATAATTTTGATCTTGACATATTATTCTTTCTTCAAGTGATGATTCTTATCACCTTTTTAGTTGACAGCAATGTTTTTCTGAAGTTATTTCTAAATCTAAATTATTCTCTGGATTCAAAATTATTACTTTTTGTGTTGTTAATATGATAACTTTCAAGTAAAAATTAATGCTTATTAGATAAAAATTAAAGATTAATTGAAATTATTGTTTATT